AAAAAGACATTTTAGAATTTTTTTTAAACCAGATAATATATTTCATACTCCGTGTCAAGTCTAGACTAGTCTGCTATTTATTACTCATCTAACCAGATGAGCAAGAACAACATTTAGATTTGTTTCCAATAGTAACACTTCTCGCACTGGGCCGCAAGCATCAAACGGTCCTAAAAAGTAAAGTGACTCTGTCGCCTATAGCAACCAGACCCAGTCGTCATTTCTCTTTGGAAACGGAAAAAGTGTATGAATGTGATTGGGTGGTTGTTAAAATCCATTATCACAACCTTTGGTATTTTCACCCCACTGCCTGGAAACAAACTGAAATGAAGTTTAAAAACAATTAACGTTAATTTGGGGAATTTTGTCAGGAAACTTTGTTTTTCTATAAATAACCCCGAAGTTAATGAACAGACTCACTTAATGTCTGAATAAACTTTACTCCCGCTGAACAGAGGAAAAGAAGCTTCATAAGGTCAGAGCAGGAATTTAAAAGGGCCCATTTCCTTTCACTCATCTCCTGACACCACCGAACAACATTAAAAGTGAAAAGCAGAGAGCTTGTGGCCAAACAATAGTCTGTCGGAGAGAGAAACGAATGCAGAAGAAAAATAGAATGCCACAGCTCACCAATGGAGAGAAATAAGGAGAGAGAGAGCGCGCGCAAAAGAGAGGAGAGAGAGAGCGCGCAAAAGAGAGGAGAGAGAGCGCGAGAGAGAGCGCGCGCAAAAGAGAGAGAGCGCGCGCAAAAGAGAGAGAGCGCGCGCAAAAGAGAGAGAGCGCGCGCAAAAGAGAGAGAGCGCGCGCAAAAGAGAGAGAGCGCGCGCAAAAGAGAGAGCGCGCGCAAAAGAGAGAGAGAGCGCGCGCAAAAGAGAGAGAGCGCGCGCAAAAGAGAGAGAGCGCGCGCAAAAGAGAGAGAGCGCGCGCAAAAGAGAGAGAGCGCGCAAAAGAGAGAGCGCGCAAAAGAGAGAGCGCGCAAAAGAGAGAGAGCGCGCAAAAGAGAGAGCGCAAAAGAGAGAAAGCGTGCGCAAAAGAGAGAAAGCGCGCGCTCAAAAGAGAGAAAGCGCGCGCTCAAAAGAGAGAGCGCGCAAAAGAGAGAGAGAGCGCGCAAAAGAGAGAGAGAGCGCGCAAAAGAGAGAGAGCGCGCGCAAAAGAGAGAGAGCGCGCGCAAAAGAGAGAGTGCGCGCGCAAAAGAGAGAGCGCGCAAAAGAGAGAGTGCGCGCAAAAGAGAGAGTGCGCGCAAAAGAGAGAGCGCAAAAGAGAGAGAGCGCGCGCAAAAGAGAGAGAGAGCGCAAGAGAGAGCGCAAGAGAGAGCGCGCAAGACCAATAGCGTGAGAGAGAGCTATAGCGAGCAAGAGCAAAGAGAGTCAGGGAGGGGAGAGAAGGAAGGTAAGGTAAGGAAAGGAACGAAACCTCTCCATCAGCAATTGGACGGTGCGTGGGATAACAGGGCCTCTTAGCACTTACATACATATCAGGGAGCGTGCCAACCTCAAATTATTTGGAGCTGCAAAACATTATTGTTACACAGCAAGGTTCGTGTGTTTTATAAACAAAGACTACAAGATCAACACCCTGAAATTACTAGTTAGCTTTATTTAGGAAAACATTACAGCATCCTGAGAAAGCCATGATTTACAATTCAGAAATCAGATGGTCCTTAGGTAACAAAAGTGTCAGCGTGAAGATACCCACCAATCAGATTCACACCTGGCATGGGAGAGAGATGACCGAAAATCTGAAAAGTCTGAATCCGATTGGCAGCCGAGGGTCTACAAAGAAGGTTAAACATTCTGACACCAATTCTTGTGCTGCTGCCTAAAATGCTAAAGAGCAGGTAGCCAAACGTTGTCCCTCCCGCTGTTGTGGGACTACCAAGTCCCATAAGGCATTGCAAGACTGACAGCCACAAGCATGATGGGATTTGTAGTTTTACCACAGCTGGAAATTAAATGATGATGATGATTATTATTATACAGGATTTATAAATCAAAATGGTAAGGAGGGCCCTGCCTGCGACAGCTTCCAATCTAATAATTTTATAGCGTACGGCCAGCTTTAGACTGAGATTTCAATACTCGTATCAACCTCCTTGCAACTCCCATTCAGGTAAACATTACACTAGTAACCTAACATCCTGTATGTGCATAATGAAAACTACGAAGACTGCTCTGTGTTATGTATGGAAGAATCAATCAATCAATCAATGCATGATCACATGACTCTCAGACAGAATGGATTTGCACTGAGCACACATCACACACCACGCAGTGGTGAGCCAGTGACAGTTATATATGTTTGGCTTCCCTTTTGTGACTGTGAGAAGGACAGAAGATTGTTTGCACATGTGTAACGTGAGAAGAAACGCACCATCTAAAACACGGTGCTGCTGTTGAATGGTGTATGTGTATAAATCACTGGCCTAATGAAATACAGGCACTGACACACACAGATATAAGGAATGCCGCTTTGTATACTCCCTATAATTGCTTCAAGACAGCACTGTATACCAGGTTACAGAATCCATCATCTCATAAATAAAAAAAAAGAGGAAGTATGGTCTTCAATGCATCTAAAGCGCATAACTCTACTTTGTGTGCACCAAATGCCTCATCGCTGTGCCGTCCATAGCATGTGTAGACAGCAGAGCTGTGGGAGGGAGCCAGCATGCCCCACCCACTACAGTCACCCTGCACCAGAAGAGAGAGTGCAGCAGTAACCGGTCTTTATTACAGGAGGGGGCGGAGACAAGACCAAATCACCTGCACAAGAAGAGAGTGCAGCAGTAACCGGTCTTTATTACAGGAGGGGGCGGAGACAAGGCCAAATCACCTGCACAAGAAGAGAGAGCAGCAGTGAGCGGTCTTTCATTACAGGAAGCTCCAAGTCTCACACTGGATTACAACACAGATCTGGAAGAAATACACAAAGCTCACCAAGATTTAAGGAAGAATACACATGACTCTTGTATTTAGATAATATTTGCTTATCCTGGAGTTCAGATTTAAAAAAAGGGTATGTCAGATTTAAAGGGTATGTCAAGCCAAAGCGTTTTTTGTTTTTTTAGGTTTTTACTTGGTAAGGATTTTGTTTTCTGGGGCTACTTCGGCTCCACAAGGAATTATTTTCATCGAAAAGGGGTGATCCATTCTGGGAGGAAAAAAAACAACTTAGAAATACCTTGCCGCACTCCTTAACGGGAAGCCCCAAACTGGATGAGGGGGGTGCTCGCAGTGACCGCGGATGGCGCCGTTAAATAGCACAAAATGAACGAATGTCACCAGCACACCATTAGTATTGAAGTCCAAAGTGTTCGTTTATTGGAACCTTATGTCACCAGAACCAGAGAAGTCCTGGTGATATGACGTTCCAATAAACTAACACTCTGGACTTCAATACTATTGGTGTGCTGGTGCCATTTATTCATTTCGTGCCATTCTGGGGGGGGGG